GGGACTGGGAATTGCGATTCCCGACTGGTGTTCCTGGCCGTGCCACGGCGTTTCTGTGTGGCCTTGCGCAAGGCGCGTTCCTGCCCCAAGGATCACAGTCAGGAAACAGAAGGTTTTGCCTGGGCTACGGCAGCAAAACAGATCTTGTGACCGAGCACGCTCTCTTCTCTTTGCAGGCTTCTGTCATTAATCAGCCTTAGTCTTCTCCTCCCCGCTCTCTGTTGCTCTGACCCGGGGCTTCTCTGCAGGACAAGCCACAAAAGCAAGAGGTTTAACTGGAGATGGGGGCACCATGCAGCCAGCAAGTGGGCAGAGCTTGCCCGCTTGCTTTTACCAGGCTGCAGCTACCCGGGACCACTGGCCTTGCTGCGTCCAGGAGAACGTCCAGGAGAAACCTGAGCTAGAAAGCAAAGGGGGGAAGGACTTTCTGGAGAGGGATTCACAGACTGGGGTACATCAGCCATCTTGGGGTAATCCCTTGCCTCCAAAGTAATGAAAGTCTCCTCTTAGACCATTGCATGTCTCCTGAGATAGCTCACCTACTCCTTGATGGGTGAGCATCCCTGCTCCAAAGCGAGGTGCCCCTTATGGGAGCTGGGAAACAGCCCTTAAAGTCTGTTCTTCCTCTTACGAGACACGAATGGCCGCGACGTGCAGCGTGTTGTGCACTTCAAAGCAACTAAACACAACTAAAACCCAGCCACAGGCTGGGATGGAAACCCAGACCTGGTTTCCATAGGCAGAATGGTATGATGAGTTGTGGTCTCACATGTTCCTGACCTATTTTTCAAACTCCAGGATAAACTAATGTGCTGACTCTGAGCAATCTTGTAAGAAAGCTAAAAATATCTCTAATGAAAAACATCTCTCCACAAACTAACACTTCAGGTAATCACAGTGCCCTCAACAGCCTCGAGAGCTTAGGAAGCAGGCGAGCCTGGAAAGCACGTGCTAGTAAAAGTCCCTGCTTTTAGCAAGGTCTCTGAATCCCAAGGGAAGCTGGGTCGGACGGGCGGGCAGGCGGCAGGCAGCAAGGTGCCGATGCCTTGAAAGGGTGGGCGGGCAGCTCCGCTCTGCCAGCGCCTTTTTTAAAGAGTGTTTTCTATTGACAAAGTACTGAAAGTAATTTGATTAAGCCTCTTTTGTATATTAGTGAAAAACAGATACTTGGCACAGGAGGAAAATAAAAGACAAAACTGTATATTCATATTCTTGTTTATGCAAACAGTTCCCCTGCAGAAAATATGGCTTGACTTAGGGCAGAGGAGCTCTCACTTCTAACTCCTAAAAACCAACTTCCCTTTGTATGCCTCTAATTAACTGAACAACGTTTGGGGGAATAAAAGTGACTTAACAGGGCTGAAGTATTGCCATGCACAACATACAGCTGGAGCAAGAGCTATGCGTTCATGTTGGTTGTGCTGACTTCGTTTCCTTTAATCCGTTTGGAAGGAAGCAACAGAAATACTCCACGTTCCTGAAAAGTTATGGGTCAGAGTTACAGGACGCCAGCTTTAGCAGAGATGGGTGGTCATTTTAAAATATTCTGATATATTAAAGTGTTTAATGACATATATTCAAAAATACCCATCAATAATGTGCTTGTTGGAGTGCTTTTTTTAAAAAAAAAGTAAAACAATGCTAATGCCTGCCAAAACATTCCTTCATATGGGAAAAGTGCTGGGCCAGTCTATCACAAGCCAATGCATCTTACGTCTAAAGTAACCTCCCAGTATGCAGTTCTTTGTATGAAGTTGCAGCCTAAATAACTGCCCTCCTTGCATACCTCTAGAAGACAGCTTTTCACAGTGGAAAAAGCTGAAGTCCAGGTTCTTCTTTATCAGACAAAACCTGAGCAGACAGAAACCCTGTAAGGCTGGATAGAGCCGCCTTCCCAAACGCACGGTTTCTGCCCACCAGCAGACCAACGCGCCTCTCGGGGCTGCGCCGACCGGTGCGCCGAGACACGGTGCCCACCCCGTAGGGATGGAGCTTCGCAGCGGCTCCCGCCAGTCCCCCTTGGCCAAGGTGTTCAAGCACAACCAGGAGCTGGAACCGCTTACGCAGAGCTTCACCGACACCGTGTGCGGAGCACCAAGAGGACGTAAGAGGTGAAGCAGCGGGAGTGCGGGGGTCGTGCAGACCATGTCCCTTCCTCTTGTGTTTCAGTATAGCTTACTTGCTAGCAAACGTGCTCTTCAAGACCAATAACCCCATCGGAGCCTCCCTGCTCTGCGACTGCACACGATGACGAAGGCGCCGGCGCACGCTGCTGTCTCCGCCATCACGGGTACGTTCCAGAGCTCCGCGGGTGATGGGAACCAGAAGCCCTTCTCTGCCAGGGGACTCGTGCGCCCGGGCAGGGGTGCTCGGGCAGCACCGCAGTTTCACGAAGACATGAACTAATTCAAGTTAAGACTCAGGAATAATGAGACAAAACAAATGAAACCTGTTTAAATTGTTTTGGGGTGTCTTTCCGTCACAGCAAGGGCCTGCTAACGCTGGGTCTCCTTAGCTGGCTTCTCGCAGAGCAACGGCCAGTAGACCTCACTGCTGGCCTTGTTTTAATTACTGCGCTTTTCTTTTGCTGTTTACAGAACCACTCTAAAAATATTTCCATTCCCAGATGCTTTTCCTAGCTTAACATTTCTGGGACAATGTTGCCAAATCCAGTGTCATCTTGTACATCCCACAGCTTTTTGTAATTAAAGCTCAGACAGATTTTCCACAGATGATATTTCATCGTCTGCGAGAGGGACGTTGCCTCCATCCCCTCTGTCTGAAGGGAGAGCAGTGCTGCTGAGAGGTGCTAGCTCCTAGATTCTGATCCCCTCGGGCCCAGGAAACGGATAGAAAGGGACAAAAAGGACATTATTAGTGCTGGCTGCACATTTGCAGTGGGTCTGCGAAGTCGCAGCCTAACACAGGAGTCGGTAACTGAGCTACCCAAGCTCCCCACCCTCCAGCTGAGCTGACCCCCGTGAACTGGGAAGAGCTGAACTCGGCCCCTGGAGCTCTGCAGCCTCCGGGGAGCCGAGCAGGGCCCCTCGCCCAGCCCAGGGGCCATCTGCAGCTTCCCATCATCGGTGTTCGCAGCCTCTGCGTCCCTCTCCGCTCGTCCCCACAGCTCCGCGGCAGAGGCGAGCTGGGCAGCGCTGCAGCCGTGCCTGTGTTCAGCTGCCTTGCAAACCTGGAGTCATCCTCGCACCGCGGCGAGGGGCTGGTAACAACCCTGGGCTGGGGTTGACTCGGGCTCCTCCACTCCAACCTCTCCTCTTCCCCATCCGCATCTCCTTCACACCCCAGTAACTCGCCATCAGAAGCAGGGAGCCGATACTTCATAAGTAACCATAAGCAGCAGTAGCTGGAATCGAGCATGACGTTCCCTTTTACAGCACCACACAAACCCACTGCTTCTAAGAAATGGCTGCGAAACACCCCACTGGACAAAGAAAAGGTCAACTTTTCTAAAGTGTACAAGGTGTCTGGGTAATGCATGCGAATTAAAAACCTCTACCAAGGACACACAGATGATCACTCTCTGTGCACGTACTTCAAGCCCACACAAACCTTCACGACACAGTGCTGGTCACTACATAAATTGCTGCTGTATTTGAGATTTCTTCGTTTGAAGTGTTCTTAATATAAATAGGGATACATCATGTAATC